ATTTTCCTTGTTATCTTAGCTAAAAATTTACATCCAATGCAAGGACTGTAGTCCAAATCACTCTACCTGTAATAATGAATATTAATTCTATTAATATATATTAAGCTATAGAAAACAATGAAAGTTTGGGCAGTCTAGAAGATTTTTCTCACAACTATAAATGAAACTATTCTATTCATACATTGGCATAACAAACAGAGACACTAATTTCTGGCATATATACCTTAAATCACAGTTGCTGGCTGTGGAACAGTACTAAATAATCCTTCTCTGCCTATATAGGAAGGGCATGAAAACTTATCTCTTCTTTTCCTTGTTTAGACCATTGTTTGAGTTAAGAGTGAGCAACCTTTGAGAGATACTATGTTAAACATACCACTCATACTTTTGATGTGTCATTTGGAATGAGACGAGAATGACTATATATAGGATTGATAGAGACTATGTTTGCTGACTCATGTAAAGACCATGTAAGTGGCAGAAGGAGCAGCCGGTCCCCATGACATTACTGATAGCTTTTTATTAGGTTGCTGACTCAGCCTTAAACCTTCATGCACTCCACCACCTGGTCCCAGCCTGGCTTTCCATCCTTTCTTTCCACTTTACCCACAACAACCCTCATCTGTAGCCAGAAGCCTCAAACATACACTCACATTTTGTCTTTGCACTCTTCTACCAATTGTCATATAAACTTTTACTTCTAAATATCATTCAACATGACATACTTACACTGATCCCCTCAGTCTTCATCCTCACGCTTTGGTATACCAAACACCAGTGAAATCTAAGGTCAGAGTCCACCACTTTTTTAAGGCTTTCTCAGATCATTGTAGACATTGTGATATTTCCTTCCGTATAACTCATACTTAGTATCACCACCATCACTAAACACTGTATCTTTTGAGGTCTTTTATTATACTGTTATTTCAGTTTCTGTATGTTTATGTTTTATTTCCACAAATAAATTATAAACTCATCAAGAGAAGGACAAACACGCTTTCAGTATCTTGGACTATTCTTTACACAAAATAGGTATTCAGGAAATATTTGACAAACAAGTGTATGAACAGAGTATGCTACCAACCACAAACTAGAACACTGTATAACATGTGATATCTGTCTTTGCCTCTCCAGTTTATCACTCATTTTCTAAGGTGCATTTCCATAACCACGTGCAACTTTGAAAACAGTTAATAAACATAATTAGATAATGGCATATATCATGTATGGAAGCAAAAAATAAGTGCACAGTTGCCTCCAGAGAATTAAACAACCACATGATACTGTGGTTTATAACCCACAGATTTGAGTTGGTTGCTGATATTTGTTTCCTGTAAATAATTTAACTGTATTTATAGTCCTTAACAAAATTACACTGATAAAGAGCAAACAACCACTGACCTTTTATTATTTCATGATGCTGTGATTCTTGAAATGTAGATTTGGATACTACAAATCTGGTAAATACTAAAACATAACTATACTTTTAAACACTAAAGAGAAATTATAAAATCTTGTACAAAATGTCACATAAGCTTTTAGTGCTGAATGACATTCAACTTGACCTACTTAATCATAACAATATGAAAACTGGTTCCAATCATTCTTTTAATTAGCATATAGAACTTTCTCCACTCTTAAAAATTAGTTATATAATCATTTGGATATGATATTTCTTCGTATATTTTAAGATGATAAACAATATTTGAAATATGACATGAAATGTGACTGATATATCTCTATAAATGCATCATAATATATGTGCAAGTAAGTGATTTTCCTTCCCAACTATTATCCTTAGGGTAGTGTTTCTCAGCTGGAAGCCATCTAGTGAGCAGATGGATACCCCCTTGTCAATAGTGCTGAGGTTGAGAAACCCTGCCTTAGAGAATATGCCATGTTCCAGTGGTGTTGCCATCATTAAAATATTCTGTAAAGTACCCTTTCAGAATTGACTATTTGAATGTACTCATTGGTGGCAACTCTTCATTCCTTGCAAGCTATGTTTTATTTTAGATTACTTCTTATGACTCATAAGGACAATATAGTTCATTCATCGACTATGGCAGGCAGAAAAATATTCAGGCAGAAATTCACAAGCACTTACATACATGCAAGCACAATTTGTTAATCAGTTCTAACTAATTTAGAATTTGGTTTGATTAGAAAATGGAAGGGTGTGGTGGCTCACGCCTGTAATCCTAGCACTCTGGGAGGCTGAGGCATGCGGGGGATCGCTCTAGGTCAGGAGTTCGAAACCAGCCTGAGCAAGAGCAAGACGCTGTCTCTACTAAAAATAGAAATTAATTGGCCAACTAAAAATATATAGAAAAAATTAGCCAGACATGGGTGCATGCCTGTAGTCCTAGCTACTCAGGAGGCTAAGGCAGAAGGATTGCTTGAGCCCAGGAGTTTGAGGTTGCTGTGAGCTAGGCTGATGCCATAGTACTCTAGCCTGGGCAACAGAGTGAGACTCTGTCTCCAAAAGAAAAAAAGAAAAAGAAAAAGAAAATGGAAGGCTTAAACTTTACTTTTGTGTATATTCAAAGGAATTTTTTATTGACAGGTAGTTCTCAGGATGGGCTTCAACAGCCTTGATTGTCACCTAACTCCCAACTGAGGAGGATAGGATCAAGGGAAACTTTATACTGTAAAGGGTAACTTGGCAGCTCAAAAATAAAGGATAGAAGATCCTCAAAAATTTGGACTCAGAAGGTAATATAAACTTTCAGCCCTGCCCCCCAAAATGTCAACTGAAGAACATTAGCTAACTGTTCATGTTTTTCTGGATATAGCCCATTTATTTAAATTGATGCTTTTGCATTCATTCAAACAGGCCTGGTCAACTTTACAGATAGGCTCCTTGTTAGATAGAAAAGCTTACCTTATTCTTATTTTAAAATTTCAAGAGCTCTGAACACTAAGGATTTTTCTAACTAAACCGTTGGCAAAACCTGACCTGAACTAATGTGAAGCTACTTACGCTTTTCATTTGTCTGTATAGTTTGAATATTCATGCTCTTCACTACGGAATTATCAATATGTTATTTCAGGGAGTTTAGCAAATAGTAATGTTTTTTGCTTTTATCAATCTGAAAAACTTTAAATTCCAAATTTATAAGTGTAAAATCAATAAAAATTGTAATAGCAGATGTTTTTATTTTGAACAGTCTTATTCTCATTTATTCATAAATTATTAGTTTTTCAACTTTAATATTTTCAAATATAGAAAAAACTTTGTACTTTATTATTTTATCAGTGGAACTAAAGCTTAATATACTCACTAATTATAAATAATAACAATTTTCAAAGTAATCGTTATATAGACTTTCAGAGTTATCACTTAATTTTATATATTAAGAAGAGAATCCAAAACATGATGAATATATCAATATTAAAGTGGGCAGCAGTTGTGATCAAGACAATGACAAGAGATAACATGTACATTGCAAATATTCTATGAACTAAATGCTCAACATCACATAATAATCTTTTAAAAATGCAGAATAAAATGAGATGCCATTTTCCCCAAATTAGTAAAGATTTTAAAAACTGATGAAAGCAAATGTAATCAAAGATTCAAGAAAACAGCCATTCTCATGGGCTGTTTATGGGAAGAAATTTGTACAAAATGTCAAGAACTATAAGAGAGTTTATAACCTTTTGCCAAAATGATTCCACTTTTGAATGGGTGTAAGTAAATATCTAAGGTGCACCACAAAGATCCGTAGTATGGATGCTCTTCCCTGTTTTATTTTATTAAAAACATCCCAAATACCCATGATTAAAGGTTGGTAAGATAAATTATTATGTTGCCCTGTAATGGAGTAGAAATCATATTATGGTAGACTATATAATGGCTTAAGAAAATATTCAAAATATATTTTAAGTGAAAAATACCAGAATTAGAAAATAGTATATATAGTTTAAGTCTTCTTTATATCCAACTGTGTATATATGTGTATGCTGCTTTGTGTTCGTATTTTTATGCATTCTCAAATTTTTTACAGTACATGTATTCAGAATAGATAGTATTATTTTATATTTTCTGGTTGATATATATTATATATACATATGATATATATATACACATTTCTTAAATTAATTGGGAAAACTAAGCAAAAACATTTATACACACCACAGAGTGAAGAGCCTTCAGGAATCAAAAATGAAGGAAATATTCTGAGAAACTCAAGGCATTTTCTAATCGATTGTGTTCCTGTCCAGTAAAAAAACGATGGTACCTATATAAAGAGATGGAAGTTAAAAGAATTTTATTTTGTGACATTCATTTCCAATCCATGAAACACTGTTTGAACAGAAAATGTCATTACTTCCTGTGAAGTGTATTTCTTTTTCAGAACTTTAGCCTTCTTTCTCTCTATCTGCAATTCTGAAATTCCTTAGGTACCTGATTACTATTTCAATAAAATGAGGAGTACCATTTTCCTCTCTGCATCTCCCATTTCAAATACTGGCACACAGGGAGAAATATTTACCTCTTATTCATGGTGTCCAGCTTGCAACATCTTAGCCTGGCAAGAGGACCAAACTAGCTGTAAATCTTACCACCCAGACCACACTTGATTATTGTATGATGGCAAAATTAAACGTGAATAAAACAGCTAGAGCATTAGGCTGTTCTTGGAAGAATAAACACAAGTTGGAAGTCTTATGTGGATAGTGCAAAATACCGGAAGGCAATCAATCATGTAAACATCAAATGAAAGCTTGGTAAGGAAGCCATTGGAGTCTGTCAGGCGCTCCCTGCAATAAATGGCTTATTCCATTTCTTTTCCCTTTCGCTCAGTTTAGGAAAGGGAGTTCTTTGAAATCTCTAACAGATCCCAAAAGATTTTGTAAGTTCTTATTCCTACTTAAAGGTATGCTTTGAACAGCTTAAGCTGCAACCCACTGAAGAGGATTTTTAGTTTATATAAAATGGACACAAATATGTCATAGTGCATACCTCCCTGACGTTTTCCTCCTCCCACAAACAGGAAACTGTTAAGGCAGCAATAATAGAAGAGCAGAAGCGAAGTGAAAAGGCTGTGGAAGAAGCAGTGAGAAGAACAAGAGATGAATTGATAGAATATGTAAAAGAACAGAAAAGGGTGAGTATCTCCCTAAGAGTTTTAATTTGTGCTTCCGTAAACTCCCATCACTGACTTCCATTCAATAACATGAAATTTTAAAATATTTTAAAATGTCCTTTATCATCTAATTTAGGACTCTCCATCTGAGATTATTGTTCTTATATAATTATATATTCTAATAATTATGTCTATAAACATAAATCCTTTCTGTCAACAGAAAAGCAACAGTGAATAATTTGTTTCTAGACTCCTAGAAATGACCTATAGCTTTTCCAATTTAATTTTTATTCACAAAGATATTAGACAGTTTTAAATTTTTAGGGTTTTTTTTTTGGCCATACATCTGTTAATTTCTCATAATATTTGTAGGAATTTGCATACATCTTTTAAGCTGTCTGACTATGTTGACACCACTATGGTTCAAGTGGATTTCATTACAGTTAGCAAATTAAGGCTTCTGCCATAGTTCCATATTGAAAGGATAAATCACAATATGCTTGTCAGAATTCAGAATACATATTGAATTTTTGCAAAATATCATTTCATGTAAGTCTGAGCAGTAGCTGAAAATAATGGATCTAACTTGATTTGTTGTGTTTTCAATAAATCTTAAGTCTTTATAAGTAACGTGCAAGATAAACTCTACGATGAGAAACGGTAATCTCGGCGATAAACGTATAATTGTATAATAAAATTTCTCACACACAGTGTTTTAATATGTTTAATTTGTATGTTTAGCATATGTTCTATACTGTATAAATACTATATTTAAGTAGTTTATATATGTAAATAAGATAAACATATAACATGTCATGTGTTATATAATGTAACATAACAAACATAAATAAAAGATAATGTGTATGATGAAAGTTGACATAATATCTAAACTTAATTGGTTGTCCAAAAGGGCAAAACAAATAAAAAGCATGAGATATTAGGCTGCATTTGGCAGTTAAGTAGATAAGGAGTATACTAAAAACTCGTGACACCACTTAGTTCTATACTCTTAACTTGAAATCAAATTTGGTATAACACAAAGAAAACTCCCCCTTTCAATAGGTACCATTAGGTCTCAACAAAGGAGATTTGTCACTAGAGTAAAAAATTACTCTAGAGAAATTAACCATTTTCGGAAGCATTTTGTAGGGGATTAAATCTTTGCACTGCTCACCTGAGGATACTTTCAAAAGGATTTTCACCCAAATCTTGATAGGTGCCTAACCTTCTGAAGAAAAAAATTCTGAGCCAAAGAGCCAGTTGGTTTTTCATGGTGTAATATGTTCTCAGAAAATGTCTATTTCCATATGTTCACATAGAATTTGTTTCAAATAATCTGGTTCAAAGGTAATCATGCAGCAAAGGAATTAGTGTACTTTTTACATGCATGCAATGATTACAATCTTGCAAGAGCATAGGTATGAAATAAATTCAGTACTCTTGTGGATATATCCTTTCTCATCTTTTCTTCTTTAAATCATTCATTTTATTTTACTTTAGTAAGAATACTTCACATGAGATCTACTCTTTTAACAAAATTTTAAGTCAACAATAATGTGTTGTCGACTACAGATGTATAATGTTGTAATATAGATCTTTAGAACTTACACATCTTGCTTTACCGAAACTTTATGCCTTTGGTTAGTGAATTCCCATTTCCTTTTCCCCCTATTCCCTGGTGTCCATTATTCCACTCTTTGATTCTATGAATTTGACTATTTCAGATACCTTAAATAAGTGGAATCATACAGTATATGTCTTTCTGTAACCGGCTTATTTCACTTAGCACAATGTCCTCAAGGTTCATCCATGTTGTTTCATATTACAGAATTTTCTTCTTTTTTAAAGCTGAATGGTATTTCTTTTTATGTATATACCACATTTTCTTTATCCATTCATCTGCCAATGGACATTTAGGTTGTTTTCACATTTTTATTATCTTTTCTTACTAATATGTGGCCAATCTTTATTTCAGCTCTAAATCTGGACAAGGAATTATATAACAAAGCAAACACATTCATAGGATTTTTTAGACTATTTCTTTGGTCAACATGGGAGATTCGTCTTAAAAAAGGTTTTAAAAATCATATGACTTTCCCATCAAAGGGAGTAGTATGTGGCTATCCTAAAGGCTTAAAATAAGAGTAAGAAATGCCTTTTTAAGAGTTTAGTGGTCCCTATGTGAGACAAATTAACTTTTGAAGGGAACTGATAATGAACTCTGTCATTTAATCTGTATGTTCTTACAACTCATGTCAATAGTATTCATTTGTATTAATTGGTAAGCTGGTTATCACATATGGAGATATTCATCAAGTAACAACAACAATGAACTCGTGACATTAGGTTCCATTTTCACCAAAGTTCTACTTCTCTTGCTTGTTACTTATATGTTAAGGAGAACAAATTTATTACCTACCTTACAGAGTTGTTATGAGTGATAAAACATAACAGCTATTGTAAGGGCTCAATAAATATGTGTTGTGATTATTATCATCTTTACCACATTATTAAAAAAATGAGTAGTATTATTTTTGCTAATTAAGAATGTGTTTTCAGATAGTTTGGCATTCTGTTTCCTCTGAAGTTTATAGTGTGAATTCTAAAATTGTATTTTACCCCTGTTACTAATTCACAGAAGATTAAAACTGATTATATCAGTATACTTGTAAGAAATTTATTACTTCCACTTTGGGATTTTGGAGTTTTATTAATAACACACATTGTGGAATATTTTCAATATTTGAATGTTTCCATCTCTCCAAGCAGAAAAGCTATAAAAACAAAAAAAGTGGATAAATTATCTGAAATGAAAGCACCAACTAATTACTAGATTCCTTTATTATGTAATTTTTACAAAATTAAGATTCTCTATGCTCTTTTCCAAAAATGTATTTTAATGTTTCAAGTTAATTTTTATGAATATCTTGGGGTTTGGAAAATTTTCACACCAAAAAAAGACATCTCAGACCTTATGAACTAATACTTAGAAGAAACAAAAGATTTTGAGCAAATTCATAATACTCTTGTCTCTTCCCAAAAGACTAAATTAGAGCAACTCATCTTCCTTTGGAAGATGGATTTCTATTTGCATCAGAGAAGAACACATTTCCAGAACAAAAATTTTCCTTTACCCTCTCCAGGTTTTTTGTTTTTTTTTTTAACTAGAGAGTCAACTTGAGATTTTCAACATTAGAGGACTGTAGACCTTGGTTCCAACTGGGCTTACATTTCAGTCTATTAAGTAATCTTCTGCCCCTCTTGAAGATTTCAAAAGTCTTTGAAGGAAGAAGACTAATGTTGTGCTAGGTTCTGTCTTTACATTTCTTTTATCATAAAAATCTTTTCATTTGACATCATCATAGCTTTACAAAATTCACTAAAAGTTTGAAATGAAGACTTTCTTCCCTACATCTTTTCCCACAGTCTTTTAAAAGAGAAACACAAAGTGAAAAATTCAAAATGCTTAATTTTTCAAATAACTTAAAAATTATCCAAAAATACAAAATCCAATGAAATCACTAATCACCATATAGGATAAAATAGCTTTTACTGTGTATGTGAAATCAGTAAATTTTTAATCAGTTATCCAATCCTGATGAGTAGTAAAATTATGCTCAAAATTAGAAATATATTAGAATTCAAATTAGATTTGTACTGAGAAAACAATTTTACTTTTAATGCTACTTACCATTTTTTTGTGTGTTAGATCAATAGAGATGTCACTGAACTTTATAAATGCCCACTATTCCTCTGGTCTAAGCATCTTAGGATAAAGGGGCTACCTGTGTATGTGTCCTAATTAAGTGAATTATAATTGATATTCAAATTATACCCTAAGTTATTTACTAAGTCCGATACATAGTACTTGTACCATTAGTCCAAGTCATAATCATAACCAAAAATTAGTATTTAGTCAAAATAATCAAATAAGGAGAGATTTTTAAATGATAAACCAGAAAAATAATTCAAGTTAATGATGAATCAGTTCCAATGATAAAAATACCTTTCTTATAAGTATTCTACCTGATAGTCTTTTTAAAAAATTTCTCTATAAAATCTGTCTCACTAAGCCCAGGGGAAAAAAAAAGTTATTAACAATGAATTCAGAAATTTAGTATGGAATCAAAAATTAATATTTCATAGCCTCAGTACCTAATAAGTGTTCCATAATATTTGATTGAAATTGTCTCATTTTTAATGGATTTATACCCCTCCACTATAATTTATATAATAGAGAAAAGGCAGTGAGTTTTGCCTAAATCTAAAAATATTAAAAATATGTATTTAATTTTTTTGAGAATCAGCTAGGTACCTGCAAGTATAGCGATTTGCATTGGAAGACCATACTGTACTTTATTAAAATTTAAACTTTGGCTTCAAACTCTCACGAATCACCATAAATTCTGCATAAGTGGTTATAAACCAAAGCTTATGGATCAAATTTGTCCAGCTACCTGTTTTTTGTAAATAAAGTTTCATTGGAGCACAAAGCCACATCTATTTGTTTATGTAATGTCTACTGGATAGTTTCACGCTACCATAGCAGAGTTGTATAGTTGATAGAGACATCTGGCCACATAACTCAAAATATTTACCATCTGGTTCTTTACAGAAACAAGGTTGTCAACCCCTGTTCTAGGCTGTCAAAATTATCCTGTGGGGAAAATTTCTTCCTCTCATCCCTTTAAAATTTTTATTTTTTCATTATGACTCAGAGTAACTAGACAATTGAAACCCCATAAGTTCTATTCTGGAAAAAAAAAAAAAACCTCTCTTCATATTAATTGCCAGGTAAGGTATTATATTATATCAGATCTGATCATTAGTGCCATAAACTTTATTTTATATAAAGGATATTGCAGAAAAACAAGATGGGAAAGACCACATCCCTGACATTTCCCTAGGGAGGAAGAATTTGTGGTTTACAATGACCTATGGCCCTTGGATTAGAATGAAGAGTTCCAACCCATTCCACAAGTTAAGACGGTTACACATAAGCTTGCTATGAGGGAGGAAGT